TTGCCTCACACACACACACACGCACACACGCGCACGCACGCACACACACACACACACACACACACACACACACAAACACGCATGCACGCCTACACACATAGACAATAAACATGAATGCATAAACACAAAGCTCTATCTACAAAAACCTCTACTTACACAAGTCTTACTCATCAGCCACTAAACCACAAAACCCTCACAGCTGTACAAAGGCACGCTCAGTTATAACAAACTTCTGCATGAAAATACACTTATTCAAGTCTGGCCCTGAATGTGTAAAATGGTGCCAGTCCTGCTTCATTTACTAAGGAGGGGGATGTCTGCTCAGAGTGCAGCCATGTGGGTGTGAGGATGCGGGGAAGTGCGACTTTTTTTTTCTGCATCGAACGTGTCAGCATTTCAGGCTCCTCGTGTGCCCCCTGTTCCTCCCAGCACTCCCCGCTCGTCGACGTGCATCAGCGGCGCGATGGAGAACGTACACGCGTGCGTCCCTGTCAGGGCGCGTGTGCAGGTACATCCACTTGCGCATCCATATTTGACTGGGCCACAGTGTGCGAGGCCTGACACTAAGCCGACATGACAGAAGCAAATAATGTCTGCTCCCGTTATCTTCTTCTTGGTCCCCCTCGGCCCCACAGGAACCTTTTAAAGGGCCAAACGCTGATGAAAAACATGCGCTTGCATATGTAAAGTGCACATGTCACAAAATGATGAATCTAAGTGAAGATTGTTAAATAAACACAGCTTTTACATGTTCGGGAGACATGCCCACCCACCAAAGGAAGGGCACATACCACTAAAGCTTGAACACAAAAAGATGCATTCAAACATTGAGCATGAATGCATGCAGACAAACACAAGCGTGTGTCCATACATACACTCAGATATGACCCACTTCCTATTCAGCACATATGACCGAATTCTACACAAAGCTACAGACAATCCTCTTGTTCGCTGTAAATATTTTCGAGGAATATTTGTTTTACTGTCTTTGGTTGAAACTACTATGATTAGAACTGTATCCAATTTGTTTGTTATTATAGGAATGACTGATTGCATATGCTGTGTTTTGGTCAATGTAGATTAAGTCACCACAGTGGCTTAATCAGTATGAATCCACATATTACTGATTAAGGATTTACACTTTTTTTATTTGTTTATACAAACATTTTTGTTTACTTTTCTCATTATAATGAGCATAGGAATGGTTGGAAATCATTGCAGTTTTCATAAAACCTAATAATATGTGCAGCATGATCTTTGCTATTAAAGACATTAAAATGGTGGCCTCCAATATTTATGTAATATTTATGTCAGTGAGTTTGTCTCAGATTAACCCTTTCCTCAAATGAAAAGATAATGTTAGAAAGTATCATCAGATTCAGTCAGATTCAATTCCACTTCCAGTAGGCCAAACAGATCAGCCTATGGCATGCCTGCCTTGTTCTTCAATGACATAAAGTATATGCAGGTTTAATTATAAAGCGCTCCCACATGCTCCTCTAATGCATTTGATACTCTAATGTGTTTGATTGCTATGATTTGTTTTTTGACTAATTCAGCGGCTCACGCCATCAGACACTTCAGGCATTATGCATAATGTGTAATGCAAAAGTTTTTGCAAAACAAATAGCCAGCAGAAACTGATTCATTGCATTCATTCATTACATTACATAAATGATCTCACATTATGCAGATGATCTATCTGCAAAATGATTTACTTGCCTCAGCATGCCAAATGCTTGGAGAACATGCCAAGGCACAACCAACTTTCTGTTTAATTCAGCTAATAAATATTTAATGAGTTAGGGGTAAAGATAAATTCACTTGAAGCCAAAGATGCTTAAGTGATCATTAAGTATGAAAATATTAGATGGTGACAAAAGTAAAAAAGTCAATTAACATTTTCGTAATGCAGTGAGAGACTGTAAATTTCATGTGTTATTCCAATGTACACATCCTAAACAAAATAGGAGTCTATATAGGACCTTCCAACCTCAAAGCACATTGTAAAGGACGAATGTTTGAAGATACTGTGAAAGCTAGTGAGCAGCTTTAAGGGATTGGTTGCTGTAAAGCCAATAAAGGCTTTTACACTGATTATTGAGAAGGATTCTGTATACATTTCTTCAATATTCCATGTTTAAATTGACTGGGAAAAGAAAATACATGAATATTATTAATAATTGTTTTACATATATTCCATAAGATACCTGTCTCATTTCAGATTTTAAACAAAAATCAGAAGCCTAATAATGGCATTGATTTTATGCTGCACTTATTGTGGTTCACCTTTGCAAGCTGAACACTTGGAGTGGCTCTAACTAACAGCAGCCTGACCTGCTTTATGATTCACTTAGCTAATTATTTTACTGCTTATGTAGTCTCCTAGGTGGTCAGCTGAATCTCAATACACAGAAAAACATATAACTAGATGTTAATGCCATGGTAAAAGAGATACAGTGGAATAGTGAAATCTACATTGTTCATCCTAATACCCACACATAATACAAAAAGACAGCAGCACATAAGTCATCACACATTCAGAACCACATTACAGCATTTGATGTTCAAAGTTTACTTCAAATTTTTCTCAAAAATCAAACGATTTTAGACATGCACACAAACACTCAGAGATAAAAATAATAATAATAATATTAGAGGAGCATTCGGGCTTACTTCATTTTTTAATACTTGTTTTAGATTAGAAATTTAGAAAATAACTCATACATTGAAATTTTATCTTCATACATGAAACAGGGGGTTACTAGATTGTTGAAGCAGAATAGAAGTGAGTCATAATGACACTAAAGTGATTGCAGATGGTCTGCAAACTCTCAGGCAATAAGTTTATGAAATACCGACCATGTCATAAAGATGAATGTTGAGCTAGAATATCCATATGAATCTTATGCTAATCGATTTGTTCTCTAAGCCGTTCAAAATTATTCATAACTATTCATAACAGTGCGAGAAGCACTTTGATGAATCCAAGACTCTGCAGACGATTGTGGGTGAGAATAGGAAAAAATGAGCACCAGAAGCAACAGGACCTCCTGGTATTTTTAGGATACTTCCTCTGACATTAAATGTTCTCAATATTTTATGGCTGAATGTGTTCTGAACCTCATGAATTTACTCAATGAGCTCTTTCTTTTTTTTTTTCTTTTTTTTTTGCCATTCAGAGGTCCTTTCTGTCAAGGCCACAGTGGACTGCCCCTGCAGATGCCCACCGCTCTCCACCTGTCACCTCATATCTCTGCCTCCACCTCCATCAATGAGCGCTCGGCCCAGCAACGAGCCAACCAACCACTATGAGCCTGTTGCTACGGCAACTGCTGTCTAGGGGATAGTTCTTTTGTTTCTCACAAGTTTCTCATAATTCCCTACTTACCAAGTATTTCTTCTTCTGCTAAATTCCCTCTGCCAGTTTCCTACATTCGTCTGCCTTCCTGCTTCCCTCTTTTCAGTCTCCCTCTCATCTCTCTGTCTTTTGCACTCTGCATCTTTTTCTTGCCCTCTTTAAGCACCACCATCCACTACATATAGCTTGAAACTAATCTGCAAAGTCAGCAGTATTTGCAACTTTTTTTTGTCAAAGTTCAACCAAATGTTCAAAAACTGCCTTAGCAAGCTGAATAACAAGTGTTTGTCTCATGCGTAAATGTAGATAAAACGTACATTTATATAAATACAGGCTGTTGCTGCTTGGCTTGCATTTTGTTTGTGCAGATGGTATTTAAAAATTCATTTAGAAAACATTAATATCAGTTCAATATCAGTTTTTCTGCAGCTTCATACAAGCCTGATTGTAGAAGCAAATTTTGGTTTATGTAGCCTACAATAATAATCTGTAGTGCAGAATGCAGCATCTTGTTAAAACAGTTCAAGCTCTTTTAAGGCAATTTTTACATATCTAGAAATGTGTTAAACAATAAGCATGATTTGCTGCCCTCTACTGGACAAATATGGTATTTTTTTAACTACTAATGAGTAGATGACAAATAAAATCCCTGGCATTAAGGATCTCAACAATGTCATGTAAAAAATAAATAAAGATTTAAGAAAATATACTATTTGAATTTCTTAAAATGTGAGACTCTCAACCTTCTCAGTAGAAACACAAGGGATAAATCGGTGCTTCAAATAACAAGGATATGATATTGTGTGAAGCGTAATTAAGGTAAATATAAAAATTGCTCAGATGAAAATGAGACCCAAGTTCTACAAAATATTTATGAATATTTAAAACTGTAAGGCTGAACATGTTGCACCTGGCTCTCAGGCCTGTGCAACATGTTCTACCTTAAACTCATGTGGGTTTAAGGTAGAAGTGTAACAGTGTTTTTCTCTATTTGCTTTTTTTTTTTTTTTTTTAATGGATATTAAAAAATACAGGTTGTTTCTGCAAACACTAGCAAAACTGTTTTGTATGCTCTTACAATTCTGCACGTTTTTGCAGTTCTGGCTTACAATCTGGTTCAGTGTGTCCCCCTACTTCCTGTCTTGCAGAGATAAACTCCAACCTGCAAAACCATGAACAGCGAGCAGCTATAGAAAATTTAATATGTTTTTATCATGAAAAGTTAATCTATCCTCCCATCTCTCCTAGAATTACATTTTTGGGGCTTTATGTTACAACAAAAAGTTTTACAATGCTGATTAAATGAAATGCAGGCCCTCTTGATCTGTGAAAGGCTCAAACTGTCATTGTTCACTGCTTTTATCCTGATCTGTATCTTACTGCAGGCGAAGGGCCTTTGTGTGAGCATGCTTTATTTCTGATTTTAAATCCTTTAGTGCTTGACAGTTTCATGTTGTTTTTATTCCCTGCAACACTGTTAAAAGTATCACACAGATATGAAATGTCAGTGAATCTAAAATCAATCATTTCTGTTAAAGTGCACAGCGGCATGGGATTTATGGGGCGGTGTCTCTGATCTTTACTTAACAGCATGCATGGACATGTTCTTTTTCTGAATGTCGGTGTTAAGTTGAGTCACCTGTCAAGATGTTTTCAGCGATGACTTTGACCTGAACCTCCAGCGAGTGCTTGGACGTGTAACTGATCTCGGCGGAAACGTGGACCACCTCCCCGATGAACACGGGCGACAGAAACTCTGTCTTCTCCACTCGAACCAGAGCTGCTATACATCGGTCCTACAGAAAAGGAAATGAAAGGTTAGCATAATTACAGACAGAAGTATAAAAGACAAGTCATTTTTCTCATGATGCAGTTAAACACTAATAAACTTACAGTAATAACTCTGGAAGACATCGTGTATCATCCCAGAATGCTTCAGCAAACTAATAATAATGATTTCTTTATCTCAAGATTATCTTGGCGGTCAGACGGGTTTGTTATCATCCAAAATTCAACATAAATGACCACCAACTCAACTCCTGTTCAAAACAGAATAAATGTCTATTTGTAAATGAACTTGCATAACATTGACATAAAAACTTTGTAATTTCAGTTTCAGTCTGCAGCTATGGTGTTTCATCATCTGTTTTAAATTTATTAGCTCAGAAAACTATTGAAAACTTTGTCAAATTACGTAGAGTTTCACGTATTTCTAACTTTGCGTCCACATTTTTTTTTTGTTTCATTGGCGTTAACATTTGAAGTTCAGCTACATTTCTCTCTGATCAAAGATTAAAGTTGTGTACTGAGTTTTTTTGAAAATGTATTAGTGTCACTTTGAAACCCTTAAAACTTGAACTTAGTCATCAAACTCTGATATGAACGTCACTGAAGATGAGATGATAAATAGAGCAAATGTGGGCTAAAGTTCACCAGGTGAAAAGTGCAATCACGGCAGTGAGTCAACTCTAAATGTCATCTAAAAAATTCCACACCATGGATCACTTAATGCAATCTAAAATAAAATGGATATCTCAAATAAAAAATTTTTTTAAAGTTTTGTTTTAACATTTTGTAACAGACTGAAAATGAGCAAAGACAGAAGTGGTAAGACATGTTTCAAGGCCAGGATTTTGTGTTCAAAGTACTTTCAAAATGGGAGAGCGGAACAAGTGATAAAGGCATTTACAACAGAATGGAGCATCATGCTGCTAATCGTTTCATGCTTGTGCTTGCAGTGCTGCACTGTGGGGATTCAGGGCTGAGAGGACTTGCTAATTTTTTTTTCTATCAATTATATGGAAGCAGAAACTTATTCCAGATCTGGATTTAATACTTTCCCACTGGAATAAAAATAATGAGGACTATATGTATGGTCAGTACTTACTCCATTCTGTGTGTTGCAGTGTCTCGTGCCGACGATGCTTCCAGCTTCTTCGATCATCTTGAGGATTTTGCCGCCGTGAACGTTACCCATAACATTGGCGTCATCTGGCAGCATAACCCTGCAGCAAAGCAACAGACTAAGTGTCTGAATCTGGTGGTAATATGTCTGCATTAATAAATAATTCTGGAGTAAGATAAAGAACCCTGTTATGATGCCGCCTTGAGACATCAGTTACCAATTTCAAGGTCTACCAAACTTTTATACAACTATGTTTTCAGAAATGCAAAAAACTTCCTCCATGCTAGTAATGGATACTTTTAATAAGATGCAGTAAAAAGAGTCAGTGACCCAATTTGTTTTTATGGAGTACAGACTAAAACATCACGCCCCCTCCCCTACTTGTTTCTGCACACTTCCAGTAAACTGCCTGAAAGAAAATTAATACAGTTTTCCCTCATTTACAGCAAAGATGCATTTGGCTGTTTCATGGTGAAAAACACAAACAATGTTGTTATGGAAAGCAAAGGAGCCCCGCCTCCACTCACACGCTTATATGTCTGTTAAAAAGTTGACCTCAGAGTGACCTTTAGTGGACAGTTTGATTAAGAACTTAGCAATCACTTTGCTATTACAGTGTTACTCTACAAAGAACAAAACAAGCATTGCTGCTTTTTCCAATAAGCATTCAAAAACTGACTACATTTAATAACCGTTTGTTTTGTTTTTTGCTCAAGTATTAGATAATAAAATTGCAACCTTCCTTCAGCATTATATACTTATTTTTCTCCTCTAAAAAACAGCATCAAATTAACTGTTGTATTACATTTTAGTAGAAATTTCTTGTCATCAAGCTGTGATATGTTTCAAGTTACCATACTATAATAATTCTAATTCTTGATTGTATTTAATTGGCATGGATCAAGTCAAAAGGTACAGTGCCAGTCTCTCAAAGAGAAGAAAGACTCACAATGATTAGTCACAACTGAAGCTGATAAAGGTTACTCCAACAGATTGTTGTGTCCCTGGTGGGTTTTAATTGCTAGAAAACGGTAAAGCAAGAGAAAGTATCTCCTTCAGCCCTGTGAAAACTTGTTCTCTTTTTTAACATTTGTCATAGTAGAAGAACGGGTCTAACAAGCCCCACTAATCTTGTGGATCAGACAGTAAGTAATGTTTAACAACAAAAGAAAGCAATTGATAATGAAAAGAAATCCACGTCATAAAACCATTCTTAATCTTTTACTGTGGTGTGGTTTAGTTCCCATAAAACACTCCATTCATTCAGCTTCTCATGAGTGCAGAAGACTTCCTGTAAAACATTTTTCAGGTGGGTGGGGAAAATTAGTTTTCAGCACTGAAAACGTTTGATTCAGAACAAAGCCAAGTGACTTTCACAGCTATGCACACTATAAGTATGAGATAACAAAATGGCAATAAAAGCTAGCGTGAAACTTAACTTTTAACAGATGTAGTATGTGGTATCAGTGGAGGTATGGATGTTGTAACAAGTTTAGATATGAAGTTAAAAACTAGTTTGAAACTTAAGATCAGTGAATAGTTAAGGTTTTAAATTGTTCTTTGTATGAATAGACTAAGCGCGTTTTTTTTTTTTTTTTTTTTTTTTTTTTTTTGTTTTTGTTTTAAAGAATACAACAAAAAAGTCTCAGTGCAATAAAGTACCTGCTGAGTTGGAATTTCTTTACCAGCTCACATCCAGCTCCCACATCTTTACAGTCGTCCCTGCAGCCTGGTTGACTTTGACTAGTCTTTCGTTTTTCCATCGCTGCTACTGTTTTGTCCACTTCATCTGCTGCCTCTTTACAATCCATCTTCAGACCTTGCTTGACTCTGTTCTCTCTGGAAGCCTCACTGCCACTGTGATGTCAGGTTTTGACAATGTTCTTACAACTGATGTTATGCAGGGTAAACCACAAGCCGGCTTAAACATATGTCAGAAACCAGACGATCTTGGCACACACTCAACAACAGACAAATGAAACCGGACGTCACCGGAACAGGAAGAACAGGAAATGTGTCAAACGATGACATCATACAATGACATGAAAAAAATTACGCAATGTTGGTCACAATTTTGTTTTGTAACTAGCCAATAGTAAATCGTAAAAAGTAGCCTGGATTTTCAATTGGCATGAAGAAAAAAGAAATCTGCCTTATGGTTATGTTTGTAATTTCCTGTTCAAATGTGGTTAATAAAGTTCACAGCTAAAACAAAAACTTATCTGCTAGAGTAATGCTTTGAGTATTCTTGTTTGTTTTTACGCCTTTTACTATGTTATAGCAGTCCTACTCTCGTATGAAAAGCTTTTATCGATTAGATTTGAAACTAGAGTTGGGTTGATTGCTTCAATCCACACTGAAATGAGCTTGAAACAATTTATCTTGTGCCTTTTTAGAATTAAACTTTTGATTTTACAAACAAATTAGCTCCTTTATTACTCGATTGTTTTTTTAAAAAACAATGCAGTTACAGAGTGAAGAAGGCAGAGTTATCCTCAGTATCAGGAGGGAAAAAACAACCCATAAATGTTTCTAGAATTTTAACAAGACATTTCCTTCTAGGCTATTCTCCTTTTCCCTGAAACCAAACAAGCCAACTACTTTTGCTTATTTGCATCCACACCCACATGTGAGTTGTTCTTGCTTTCTAAAATAAACACGCATGCAGTGCTCTGCGACGCTGTAGAGTACAGGTCAGTAGAAAGGAAGATTCAAAGAAGTGCAATAGATCAGCTCCGGTCATTCTATGTATACATGTAACTTTACTGACTCTTTGATCGTCTAAATGTTCCATGCCTGAATCACTTCAAAGCTTCTGCAGGTTTAAATGCTGAAATGTTTCAAGCTCTGACTGCGTTTAACTTGTTAAATTGGATGTATCCTAATCAGTACTCTTAAGTTTATTTTATATGAGAAAAGTGTTTCATAAAACAGCCAATGTTCAGTGCCTTGCAAAAATATCCATACTTCTTTTACAGTTTATGTCATAGACCTATACAAAGTACTGTATAGGGAGAAGGAAAATTATGTGTGGCACAAGTCTTTTTGGACATGATGTATGTCTATCAGCTTTTCACCAGATTATGCAGGGTTATCTCTTCAATCTTTGCACATTTAGAGGTTTTGCTCATTCTTCTTCGTAAAGCAGCCCAAGCACAACTTGCCACAAATTCTGATTTAGACAGAACTCTGAACTTTGGCAGACCCACATTCCTCTGTCTCTATACCAATTGTTTTGCTCTCAAAAAGGTTTTCATATAGGATTGTTTAGGTTGATCCGTCCCCTCATCAACGCTAACCAGTTCCCATATCCCTGCTAAGGAAAAGCCTTCCTACAGCATAAACCTTAGTCTCAATTTCTCTCTTCACATCCCAGTAGAATACATTTACTGTGTTACTTATTTTTGATTCAATTACCGTAATGACACATCAAACAATGTGAAAACCCAATGGCATTGGTAGGTTAAACAATGTAACTGTATACCATTGGTTAGCTTGAAGCTAGACTGGGATGTGACGACCTCAGATATTAGAGACACAGTATTGTGAGTGAGCTATGTAGCGCCCTCTGCAGGCGAAAGAGAATAGCTACATGGTGAGTTTATTCATAGAAGGAATCTTATTGTTTTAATACACCGGATATTAGATTAGCATTCATTACGGCGTAGTCTGCTGAATAACTGTTTCTTGTTCATCTGGATAATAGCTTTAAAACATAAGTCCAAATATTTTTCAGGAATCACAGGACAGGAAATATCAATCTCTTGCTCTTAAACATGCACCTTTATTTTAGCTTTTAGGCTTTAATTAGCTGCCCTTGGCTGTTAAAGCGCTTCCTGCCAGCTAAGGTCCTTAACACACCGGAGGCAGTTAAGGACACCGGTCCTTAACTGCCTCGGTTTAATAAACCGAGGCAGAATACACATCGTGGGGCTCCGACTTAAAAATAAAAGGTAATGTTTTCAGGACTGTCACAAAGGGGACGAAGTGGACATCTTGTGTTAGGACGAGGAGTCCCGAGCGGCGGATTATCCGGGTTATCATCCGGTTGAACAAACGGTCACACGGCGGCGCGAGCAGAAAGCGCTGTGCTCATCACTAGCAACAACCAAGCTAGTCTTACCTTCACCTCACATGAGGAAACGGAACCAGGGACGTCATACCTGCATAACTGGATAGAGGATGCTTCGTCCATCCCCGGCGACGACATGGTTTAGTCTCCCCTGGGCTGCCGGTGTCGTGTTCCTGCGTGACACGGAAAGAAATCAGGCAGACTCCCCCCTCCTCGGCGTCCCAGCGCTGCTGTGGTCACCGCGTCTGTTTCAGGACTGTTTAAAGGGGGAAAGTAGTAACGGAAGCCGGAAAAAAATATTGACCATTTTATTCAAATATTTTTAGCAAAGTTCATATGCTTGGTTTACACTTTATAAATCAAAGAAAACTTGAATGGCGTTTATATTCTGACCTAATGTCGATTGAATGAGATGTCGTTGGGAAGTAGGAACTGAAACATTGTCAGTACTTTAACTCACCAGAGGGGGGCAGCAGAGGCCGCTCAAACATCACCCTCACCAGTGTTATATTTTATTATGTCTATAGGTGGCGCAATTGAACTAAACATTTGTCCCACAGCAGTTCATGACAGTGTGATTAATCATTAATTCAATAAAATGCCCATGTTGATTCACATTCTATGCTATATTTGCACCAATATGTAATGTTACATTATCAATCTTTATTTATAGTCTCTTTTTAACAGACAAAGAAATCAGTCTGTGTGCTTTAAACTTCAATTGCTGAAATAAATTTCCTTCAATAACATATGCAGTAGTTTGAAAAAATTAAAGCCAACTCTAAATTATAGAAACAGTTTAAATAAGCTTGATAAATGAGTAAATTGTAGTGAAAAGCACAATATATTAAAATTACACCTGTTTACAAACCAGAACATAGAACACAAGAAAAAGGCACATGTCAAAAAATAGGAAGTGCTTTATGGGGTTTTTTTCTCCTTTTTAGGGTGTCTTTTTATTTAGTTATTTTCTCTTAGCTCTTAAAACCAGTTTCCCTTTAATTTTAGCTTTAATTTTAAAAAAAACAAATTTTTATTGATTTTATTTTTTTTATTCATTCATTGTTTTTAATGCAGCAAGCCCATCTCCACTAAGTGTGCACGGAGAAAAATAAAACAACAACTCAAGACGTAACCACGACATCGTAGTTTTATTTATGTACATTATATACACAATAGGTGCTGCAAATGGCAAAAGTACAGCACGTCCCCAAAAAGAGATACTCTTACAGAGACATTTAATGCCTACAAAGGTCACTCGCACTGACTCAGAACTCTGAAGTCTGTCGTGCAAATGCGTACACATAATGACCCCTTGGGTCTTACAGGGCTGTTTCAATAGCCCTTCATCATTCAGTCCAGCGGGAGGACTAAATATTGAACCTATAACATACATGCGGATTTGAGAAGAATACGACTGTCTAACATTGTCAACTTACACAAGACAACGGACCTGCGCGCAAAACTCAAGTATATAATACTGAATCAAACCATTTCAACAATAAGTTCTAAAGAACAAGACGTATTTACAAGTAATTCAACTTAAAAGTAACACATCATCATTGCATGATTAAAGACTCTTAACTGTGGAACTCTACCAGGGTCTCCACACAGCAACGCGGACTGGCTGCGGGGCTGGCTGCGCCGGCCGGCTCTCCAGACCGGCTCTGACGCACGTTTTCAGAGTCAGGAGTTTTTGATGGAGCAGAGGGAAAGCCCTGGCGTTGTCGGCGCAGCATTTCAGGCAGGTCGGCGCGCTGTTCGTAGACGTAGACTTCTGGACGAAGTCCTCGACTCGCTGGCGCGCCTCCTCGTCCAGGCCGGTTTTGGGGAGCAGCGCGGGGACGCGCTGGAGGCAGGCTTTGAAACCTTCTCTGTAGCTGTCCGCTGGGCCTAGAAAGACAAATAAACGTGAGTTTTTTGGTGGTCACAAACGCAGTACTGATCAAAAAGATTTAAAGGCGCAGGATTCTTACTCACTTTTGGCGTTAACAGGAGGAATGTCACTGAGGAACTTCACGGTCATTTCCAGGATGTCGGCTTTCTCCAGCTTGGAGTGGCGGGTTTTCTGTTAAGAAACACGCAAAAGCGAATGTTAAAACACGCAGAGCTCAAACTTATCTCGAGTTTTTGGAGCCACATTTTAACTTTTGATATGATAACATCAGAATAGAGGGGCTTACGTCTCTGCCTGTGAGGGGAAGAATGAGATTCTTCAAGTGGTTCAGGCTGTCGTTGATGCGGGCGCGCCTGCGTTTTTCCATGAGGGGTTTCATAGTCTGAAGAGAACACAGATAGTTTGAGTTTACATTCAATTCGTATGGCTAAAAATTTGAGCTGATCCAGGAAAGTCCAGTCATTTAGCTTACCTTTCTCAATTCCAGAGCCTCTTTCTTTTTGGCCACAGTCAGCCTTGGAGAAAAAGACTGGAGAGTGTCATAGATCACGTTTGGAGACATTTCTCAGTCTCGTCTTTATACCACAGAAGCGTTCAAGAGCTAAATCGGGGAGGATGTGTCTCTAACGGACTGGCGGTTCGGTATTTATCCAGGTCTGCGGCGTCGGTTTCCGTGCGTCACGGCTACGCCCCCAAGCCGACTCAAACGATCCGGACTGGCCGGTACGAGACAAAAACAACACAAAAGCATTGCATTTAATAAGATAACCATCTGTTCACAATTTTAAAAAGTATGTGGAAAATAAATTGCGTGTCTGCAATTTGGTCCACAGACATAAACCAAACAAAAGCTGCGTCAGAAAGCTGGAGAAATCCGTGCGTAAAGACGCACAGCATTGCAAATCATAGGGTGGGGAAACTCATTTTCAAAACTCCCAAATAGATAGCAATACCACTGTTTCGATTATGCTTAGTGGTTGAATTATTATACTTCTTTGAACATAAACTTTAATATTAGTGCGTAATTGCGCACGCTAAGAATATAAACAAAACACAGCTTTGGTGCCTCTCGAAGTTTGACATAAATAACAAATAACTTGAGATAAAATGTTTTTTATTTGTGTATACGTGTTTCCAAACAATATTTCTGTGACGCATAGATAAGACTTTTGATTATGATTACCTTATATTCCTTTTGCTGATCTTCTCTGATCCTCTTTATAATATCAAAGTTTAAACTGTTCCATGTATTTTGAATGAAACTCCAGACCACGGCAGGATGTAGTACGTGCATCACTCGCATAGGGGTCAGGTTTGTGTGTGTTTAGAAAATTATCCCCTCAAACACACACTCCGATCACACACCCAAGCCACGCTACTTTTATTTAACATCTGCTCCTATACTGACAACAATAGCTCAGCACATCCATATGACGTTTTTATGCAGTTTTTATCTGGGGGTTCAGTGGGGTGGGGTCACTACCTGTAGGGAGTGTCTGACTCCAGCTACCGCTTCAAGCAGAAAGGTGGGGGCCGAAAACTCGCGGGATAAAGAGGGGTTGGGGGTGTTTGTGCACAGCTTTTGCTTATAATGCAATTACAACATTTAAATTTGTTTCTTCTTTTTTTTCCAGAAACTTGAAGTTTGCAAAAGTTCAAGTCGAGTTTGACACGAAGTTTTGAATGCGCGTCGTTTCTCTTTCAATTCTCTGCAAACGGACATCTAAAGTGTGCGCCAGCGTTTCTGGTTTGGAATAAAACCCGCAGCGTCATGACAGCCCGTCAGATGCCTCTGCACTCAGGGGAACCACGCGCGCAGCACGCGCCACGGGGACCAGATGGCTGTCTGTTACAAATCCCCGACCCCACCCTCACCCCGTACCTCCAGTGTTTCGCCACCATCTCTCCACCCCCCACTGCCCTCCCATTCATCTCCTGCGTCGTGGATCTCGGTCATCCGAAGCAGTGGGACACGCGCGTGCACCTTCCCCTACAACCCCGCCCCCCAGCCCAAACTTCAAATTCAAGACACATGATCTCCACGCAGTTTTGGCTTGGGTTTTCCGTCTGCACGCATCTCATAGGTCCGTTCTGTCCGGGTCCAATCATAACACGCCATTCTCCCGCTCCCCCACCTCCATTTTACTCTTCCTTTGCTTGAGTTTTGCATGTTTTTCAGCGTCCAAGCCATCGTTAAAGCGCGTTCAACAGTTCAGGACACAAAGGGCAAAAGAAAAAAAATCCGATTCTTTCTAGAGGAGTGATGCATCGTGATCCCATGCAAAATATTCCGTTTTATGTGGACACTAATGGTGACAAAAATATCTACATATATATCGAGTTGCGTCGCTGCAATATGGGCCACGTATTTTATCTTTAAATTAAAATTTCCACTACACGATTAATTTCTTTTAAACATCTACAGTTTACAATCATTTGACTCTTTCTTCCATGTGCACAGGTGCTTCTTAGTATATTAGAATAACATAATTTCAATGATCCAATTCAGTACAGACACATTTCAAACGTTGAACGGGAAGATCGTGTTGACGATCACAGCTTACAGTTTATGAAACACAAATTCAATGGACGATAAGAGTACGATTTTAAAAATACATGTCGACAAACTGTCAGCATTGTGTTTTTGGTCTACACAAAGGTAAGATAGAAAAAAAAATTGAAGAAGATAAATATTCGCAGAGCGCTGTGTCCAAGCAAAGTTAAGTGGAAGGATAACATTTAGCGGAAATAGGCGGAGAAATAACAGCATTTACCGAAGTTAGCTTTGAAAATCTACATGGTAGAAAACAATTGAGATACAAGGCAAACAACACTTAAAGAGCAAAACTGAGAGTTATATAGAAGAAAAAAACAATCAATAAGGACATGAAAATTGAGATTTAAAAAAAAGTCTGCATTGCCAAAGTTGGCAACCAGATTATTGCCAATTGCAAATTGCTTAAAGTTTGCTTACAATTAGTTCTTCAACAACACTGCTTATTGGTTAAAATTGAGTTTGATTATCATTAAATTTATGTGACATTTTTTGCACTGATATTTGAAATATGAAGAATGATTTTGTGGTGGAGGAACAGAGCCAGGCCCTTTCCTGGAAACGAGCGGCACACTTGCTGCACGCGTTCCTCCCCCCACCACCACCACCATCAGCCCCCAGCAACAGAGGGACCTGGGCCGAAGAGGAAGGGGGTCGGCACCTCTCCGTTTTCTTCTTCTTTTGTCTTTTCAGGCAAATTCAGGGCGTCAGGAACCCATCTGTGCAGTCAGGATAACATTGAGCCTTTGTCTGACCGTGGAGCAACACAGCATCAACAAGCATGGGAATTAAGAAATACAAGCTCCAGAGCAAGTGACTTTTACTGCAGCATAGTGGGAGAGAGACGTCATACAGATTCAGTGCTTTTCTTCCCATATAACAAAAAGACACAGTTTTAGGATTTTCAAAAAGTGTCACAATTTTAAAGGCTTGCCTTGCTTTCTTTGGTCCAATACTG